ATCAAGGAGACGAAGCGCGTGTTGGACGTGCAGATGAGCGAGGCTCAGGCCGCCGCTGGTGTGGGCGTGGCCTGAATGCCACATGTGGGCGAGGTTTGTCCCGCCCCCTGATTTTCTCGTGGCAGCTTGATCGTACGCAATCGGGGCGCCTGCTACGATCTTGCTCGTGTGTTTGGGGACAGGGGCTGCAGCCGCAGAAAAAAATCAGCGGGAGAGAGGGAGGAGGAGGAGGAGGAGGAGGAGGAGGAGGAGGAGGAGGAGGAGGAGGAGGAGGAGGAGGAGGAGGAGGAGGAGGAGGAGGAGGAGGAGGAGGATGAGGAGGAGGAGGAGGAGGAGGAGGAGGAAGGAGGAGGAGGAGGAGGAGGGGGTGGAGGAGGAGTGCGAGGGCCTTCGCGAGCCTTTGAAGGAAACGCGTGTCTGCACGAGTGGATTTCCCAATATGCTGCACTTCCCAGGCCCCAGGCCATCTTCCTCCTCCTCCTGCTGCTCCTCCTCCTAGTCCTCCACCTCTTCCTCCTCCTCCTCCACATCCTCATTCCCCTCCTCCTCCTCCTCCTCCTGCTCCTCCTCCTCCTCCTGCTACTGCCCCCCTCCTCCTGCTCTGCCAGGCGACTGCAGCAGTTTTGGCCCAACGTGGCCCGAGCGCCATCGCGAGGCTAAAGCCCTGCATATCATTCGCATCTATTTTAGGTTGCCTCGATGGTCCGAGCCTCTCTGAGTGAGTTCGTTGCCAAGCGCATGCAGTACATCGAACTCATGCAGGCCAGCGGTGTCAGCCCTGGCACCGCCAGGTGGGAGCAGCTGCTGTCGGACGGCGTGGCTGGCATCATGCAGATGATCAGGATGCACAGGCACTTCGCGCTGGACGAGGCGATGTATGTCAGACAGCTGCTGGACGACAAAGCGCTCCTCTCGCCAGAGTCCGTGGATGCGATCATGCAGCAGCTGGACGCGAAGGTCGACCTCAGCAGCGGCACCTCGTCGGGCCTGGGTGCCAGCCCCCCGAAGCAGACGCACTTCTTCCTGGACAACTACGTGACGGAGAAGATGTGGGCCTGTCTACAGGACCAGTCTGTGGCGAAGGAGAACAAGATGATGGCCGTCGTCAAGCTCTTCGTGGCGCTGGGGATGCGATTCCCCAACGAGAAGACGCACGCGCTGGGCTGCGCTCTCGCGACGCATGCTCACGGGCTCGAGGTGAACACGCTGTTGATGGACCGCCGCATGTTCAAGATGTGCTTCAAGGCGATCATCGACGAGAACCCATGCCTCCTGCTTGGGCCTGACACCTACCCCGAGACCGCCGCGAAGCTCCAGGAGTTGCATCCTGAAGTATACGCCCAAGCGTACCCTGATGATCAGCCTGCCCCATCTATGTGGCCAACTGATTATCGTGCCATGGTGAAAAGGATGACACCGTGCAGAGACACCAAGACAGGCGTGGACAAGGCGATGATCCAGTATGCAGCTTCCTCGGTCAGTGCGTCGGCCTCTCGCAGCTGCGGCCCATTGCCTGGGTTTCGGCTGTGCCCTCCAATGCCCAAGGCCCCAGGTAACAAGTTGGCTGCGATCCCGAACTTTACCTGTGAGCCGCCCGCGGCGCCGAGGGCGTTGGCTTCTCCTGCTCAGGCGCTATTGGCGCTGCCGCCGCCGCCAGGCCCAGAGCACCCAGTGCAGCCTGCGGCATCGACGATGCCCCCGCCCGCGGCTCAGCCTGAGACGCCGACCCCGCCCGCGGAGCAGCCTGCGGCGCCGACACGGCCGCAGCCTGCGTCTGGTGCCGAAGGCCTGCCAGCGTGGCCGCCGCCGACAACGGTGGTCGCGGGAACGACTGGGGCCGCCGTCGTGCCGACCCTGGCGGAGGCCACCGATCGGATCAGGCAGAGATTGCTCGCTGCCAAGTCGGATGCCAAGGCTGAAGCCGCTGGCGAAGAGGCCGATGGCCCGACCGACGACGGCGACGCGCCCGCCCCGAGTGGGAAGAGGCCTGCTGCAACACCTGCAGGCGGCAAGAAGGCGAAGAAGGCGAAGATGCGGAGGCCAGCAGCTGCTCCCAAGGTTCTTTGGGAGAGGGAGCCCCCTTGCCCGCGCGAGGGATCGGCCGCAGTCAACTACAAGGAGGGCCGCATCTACACCAGCACTCCGAGGAGGGGCTTCAGGGTGATTCGCGCCGTGCCCGACTACGCGACGGAGATTCGCATCCCGTGGGGGGCAGACAAGCCGAACAAGGCAGCCTGGAAGAAGGCGCTCAAGGCGATCGACGACTACCACCGTTGAGAGCAGAGGCTACAGCCCTGCTGAGCTGCGGTTAGCCATGCGAGGCTTGAGCCAGAACTCGGCGCGGGGTTGCCGAGCGCGCGTGGGCCAAACGTGAAAAACATCATCATCATCCTCCTCATCATCCTCCTCCTCCTCCTCCTCCTCCTCCTCATCATCATCATCATCATCATCATCATCATCATCATCATCATCATCGTCGTCATCATCGTCATCATCGTCATCATCAGCATCATCACCACCATCATCATCATCATCACCGCCAGCAGCATCATTATCATCATCATCAAGACGACCATCGTCATCATCACCATCATCATCAACAACATCACTATCATGATTATCTTCATCATCATCATGATCATCACCATGAACGCCAAACATCGTCACCACTGGTACTTTGGGTGGGGGTCCCTGGGGGGCCACGAACCGTGTGAGGGTTGTGCCAAAATGGGTTGCGGGAGCGAATGGGGCGTCGACGCTGGGGCCCCTGGTGGACCTCCCTCCTCCTCCTCCTCCGCCTCCTCCTCCTCCCTTCCTCCTCCTCCTCCCCCCCCCCTCCTCCTCCTCCTCCTCCTAGCGGCCCTCGTGCCTCCTCCTCCTCCTCCTCCTCCTCCTCCTCGTCCCCTTCCTCCTCCCTCCTCCACCTTGTTGTGGTATGTTAACTGGTGTTATTTTATGTTAACTCATGTTAAAGTGAGTTAATTCCAACGCTTCCAACTTAAACTTTGATAGCGTGGCCGTATTATTTTAAGCATGGCCGCGCGTCAACAACAGCTTCCAGTTATGAGTCGTTACGCAATTATGTAACACGAGATGGGTTTAGGCGTCGGATATAACCATGTTGGTGGTTGCAACGTGGTTACAACAGTGTTGCAACTGTGATACAACATGGTTACAGCTTGCTGCAACTGTGATACAACATGATACAACCATCGGACAAACCACAAATCATGGTAGTTTGGGATTCGTCACCGGATCCACCGGATCTGTCCGGAAACGGTGCCGGAGGCCGCTCTGGGCTCGTCCTCTTCGCGCCGGGGGTGAGGATGACGTGAGTTCCACAGAAACTCCCTCAAATCACAATAGTACTGACTGGTTGTGATATTAAGTCGATGTAACACTATTGTAATGATTCCGCACTGCGGTTACGTCTTACTTCACTCGTATACACACTCTTATACACAGTTCCACGGTACTGCAGCATGCTGTATAGTGTGATATGCATGTTCAGCTATTCCTTGTACATTGTTATGGCGCAATTGTTTTACGTTTAGATCGTGTTTTGTGTACGGGTATGGTCATGCTGATATTTGTATCGCATGGTCTCGTATGGGGTCGGTTGTTATGGATACCCGTCTGCACGCAGGCCATACTCTAGCGTGTTGATTCGGGACAGTAGGAGAACAAGTCTGCGTTGTCCTTGCATGTGGTGAGGTGTTATACCCGTTTCACTCTGTCACAATACGATGTGCTAGATTGTGTATACGGTGTCATGTTATGGCATGATATGGTTTGGCATGGTATGCTATGGTACGACCTGCTACGCTATATTGTATTATGTTGAATTGTGTTATGTATGTCCATTATATGATGGCGTATGCTCTTATGTCATGGTAGGACATGCGTGCCGTAATGGTAACCATCGTCGCAAGTGCTGCTACATCATACCATGCCACATTCAGCTGTCATAGTGCGAATTGTGGTGTGATGACCAGGTATGGCTCGTGTCGCTATGGTATGCTATGCCATAGTACGCCATACTATAATACATGTTGTTACCATGCGATGTAACTTGCTGAGGTATGTTAGCAACATAATGCGCTGCTTTGGTATACTCTGCTATGCTAAAATGCGTCAGTGATGAACGTGTCCGCGTTTACCGTGTTCTTGAAGCCAATTCTGCCTGCCTCTTTGCTCATGCGTCGTGAAGCCTGGACGGCGTGACGCCTCCCCTCGGGGCTGTCTGTAATAAAAGGGTGCTGTCTTTCGTCGAGGACACGAAGCGGGACTCTCAGGGACTCCTGAGATCCTGTGGGGTCCAGCGACCACGGTGTGGTGTCGTCATACGTCCGAGGCGCTAGGCGGGACACTCAGGAACTCCCGGGATCCTGTGGAAGGGGGAGTCTGACGGCCGCGGTATGCAGGGTAATTCGGCAGACGTGAGCGCTTTCTTCAAATCTAACACCCCCAACCTGTCGGGTGGGGAACAATTCGGGGATGGACAGACCCCCCTTTAGTAAAACGTGGTTTAGTGAAAACGACCTGAGGCCCAAACCTGGCGGGCGCAAGCCTGGAAAATAGCGGCCACGGCGCCCTCTCGAGAACCGAAAACGGACAATTCACTAATCGACGTGTCACTGTTGGGGGTTCTGTCCACACCCGAAACAATCAAGACTGGAGTACCAGAACACATCCTCCTGCGGCATGTCTCGAGCCGGATCGATCCTTGATGGCCCCGAGGCCCGAAGGCATAGCGAAATCGCTGGCTGTGCAACACATGGTGCCGACAGGATCTCTACGCCACGAAAAGATGTACACAGACACCCTCCGACGAACTTCGCATGTACCTTCAGGGAGGGGACGGTGTAGAAAGTCGCTGGCTCTCTGTGGTGACTTATACACCGCCACCCTCCCCATGAGGCCCAGGAACAGGCCGGTGGAGGGTGTCTGTGTGTGCTTTTGTTTGTGGCGGGATGTCGAGGATTTCCTGGACCTCGCTCCTTCTCCAGGATGCCCCACAGTCTCACGATCTCGCCTGTGACCGCCGTGTCGACGTAGGGCACGCGGCCGCGCCCTCCGGCGCCGGCGGCGACGAGCGACTCCAGGTACAGGAGCTGCAGGTCCTGCACGTCGGGGTCCCCGATCATCTTCTTCAGCCTCTCCTGAAAGGCCAAATGACACGGTGGCACGGCAGGGGCTCGACCACGAGGAACCTTCCACGAGAAACCCAACCCTGAGACCCCAGCACGACCAGGGACTTTTGTGGTGTTGGAACGCCACGCTTCCCGTGGCAAAACCCTCGAAGCCCAAGGACGCCAGAGCACCCTGGAGGCGAGCAGGGTGCTTCTTGGCACGGGCTTCCTCTGGGCTGCGCGCGCCCCCCTTGGGAACGCGCGCGCCAAAAGCACAAACATCACACGCTCTACCGCTACTGAAGGGGCCCTGGGACACACAACCAAATAGACACAAATCGAATGATTCCCCTTCACATATTTTCTGGGTTCTCATCTTCCCCCCACACTTCCCCTGTTTTCCCATCTTTTCCTGGGAGTCGACGATTCAGTGTGCCAGTGTGTTTTGTTCCCCTCCTGAGCTATCCAGGCGGTATGCCCAGACAGCGCCCGCCGCCGAGCAGGTCCTGCACGACTGCTGAGCGGGCGCGTCGCCCCCGGGGCTCCCCACATCCTCCTCTTCGGTCGCTGCTGGGGGGCAGGTCGCACGCCCATGTGGGGCAGGGACTCGGACTTGTATCGGCGGCGCGCACGAGGGGGGTGGAGGGGAGGGGGGTGGCTTCTTGGAAGGAGGCTGCTTCTGAGAAGGCGCTTGCCTTACATCCATAGGTAAGGGCCGCGCCTCCTAAGAAGCAGGGGTGCTTCTAAGAAGCCCTCCCCCGTCCCCCCACCCCCCTCTGCGCGTGGCTGATTGTAAAGGCGTGTGTGTGTGTGTGTGTGCGTGTGTGTGTGTGTCAGATGAGCGCTTCCTGTCTCGCACGCAGGAGGGCAGGAGGAGAGTAAGCCTCACGAAAAACGTTAGGCCGGGCACGTCCTCCTACAAGCGGATTCTGGACGAAGAAAAAAGAAAACCGGAAACATATCCAAAACAATATAACATAGTCGAATGAATTTTCCCCAGACTATTCTTTGACTATTTTTGAATACTCCTCCTGTAGAGAGACACGCCCGACTTAAGAGTAAGCCTCACGAGAAATGGCAAGAAAAAACTGGGGCTGCGGGAGCTGGCGGCAGGCCGACCAGCCCATGCCACCATCCTCTGCAGCACTCTGCTCGACCTCCCCCAGTTGTGGGTCGGAAGCTGGGCGAAAGCTGGCAAATCCGCGGCTGCTAAAACGGTATTCCCAGAAGAACAACATCACTTCCCGGAATAAAGCTCGGCGCACAAAATAGTAAACGGGCTGCTTCCCGAACGAGATAAACACTATTCACGGAGCCAGCTCCGTTCTAGCAGCCACAGGTTTGCCAACCTTTGCCTGGCTTCTGACAGTGGTGGGAGGCAGAAGACGCCGCCGTCAGAGCAAACAAGGCGAGCAGCAGGTCTCCGCTGGCGGGCTATCTACGGCGCCGGCCCCCTGTCACATGTCGATGGTGCCCCGAGGGCATTTGTGAAGGGAAACTGGGACACACAAATAAATACACACAAATAAAAAGATTCCACATATTTTCCCATATTTTCTGGGTTCTTGTCTTCCCCCCAACTTCCCATATTTTCCCATATTTTCTGGGGAACCGAGGATTAATTGTGTCTGTGTGTTTCTTTTCCTCCTGAATTTGGTGGTTCACGACAGGTGGTGCGCCAAAAACAGATCAGAAATTTCAATACTTTGCATCCAGGGCACTTTGAGGATGCACCGTCGCCCAAGATTGGTCTGCTGCAAGTGCCGAATGCAAGAAAGAACTTGACAATGTGGGGCGTAGAAGGACATGCTGGTCATATGCGCCCCTCGTTCGGGCGTTGGCAGAAGTGGGTTTAGTGGGACCTGGTTTAGTGATGTGTACTGGGGGACGCCCCCCTGCCCGTTCCACTATCGGGCACTGCCGTCACCTGAAAAAAGCACCAGCTACGGCAGACCTGGTTTAGCGATTCTGGGCAATTTAGGGGCTCCCGGGCCCTACTACTGACCGGATCCCCTTACCTGGGGTCCTTGCTGTACCCGACCCTTGGAGGCGCACGCCCGCACCGACCATGCAGCACAAACGTCGAATGGCACACCACTCGTCACCCAGGCGGTATGGCCAGACAGTGCCCGCCACCGAGCACATACTGTGAGATGTCTGGGTGCACGCGTCGCCCCTGGGGTTTAGGTCGGGCATGTCACCCTATAGGCGGATTTTGGGACGACAGATCAAACATACCCCGGAAAAAATGGGGGAAAAAAAAAAACAAGTCAAAAAATCGTCCCAGACTAGTTTTAACTATATTTGAATATTCCTACTGGAGAGGGACAGCCCCGACTTAACCCTTGGAGGCCGACGCACACGCAGTAGAACAAGTGTTTGTTGATGCCGATCTCCTGCTGGTACGACCGAAGCGGGTTAGAAGTTCGATAGCAAGCCCTGCCCATTTTGCAGAGGACTCGCTGTCGGTATCGTTGCGTGCGTTGTCCGCTTGAGACGAAGTCCCCCGCCCAGCAGCGGCCACTGCCGGCTTTGGACAACGTTCGCTCTTGGGCAATATGGTAGGTACTGGCTCAGGGGAAGCAACGGCCTGGAAGGCGCCCGCATGTGAAGAACCACCGAACTCTATAAACCTGCGTTGCTTCCACCCCCGCACTGAAAATCGCACAAGAGAGCGGATCCTTGTATACACGTTTTGCTGCTTCCCCGGGAAAGCGGGGAAGAAATATGCACCACCCCACCCCGACGTCGCCCCCGACCCTCACAACGACCCCGGGATTGAAAAGCAGCCCGCCACCGATGATGCTTGCACATGTTTAAAGGGCCCCCAGAACACACAAATAAATACACACAAATAAACATATTCCCCATATTTTCTCATATTTTCTGGGTTTTTGTCTTCCCCCCCGATTCCCATATTTTCGCATATTTTCCTGGGGATCGACGATCAATTGTGTCTGTGTGTTTTTTCCCCTCCTGAATGTTCCAGCTGCCCGATCCTGGTCGTCGGGGGTGAAGGCGGCGCTCCCGGCCTGGCTGCCCTCGAACGCCCACTTGCCCTCCCCGACGCCCAGGAGCTGCCTGGAGGCCATCTCCAGCAGCGCGGCCACGGGCCCCAGGGGATCCAGGGGGGGCTCGCCGTCGGAGAACGGAGGCTCCCTCTGCTCTCGCGTGTCCTCGCGGGGTTCGCGCCGACGGGCGCGCCAATCGAACCCTCCGACGGCCACGCCTCGAGGGAGGCAGCACTGCACGCACAGAAACCTTCGGAGCCCCGCGCGAATTTCTGCGATCGGCGCTGAACCCCTTGGCGGCGCCTCCGGCGCCGCCCCTGGCGCGCTTCGCGAGCCATGGAGGGGGGGGTCCAGCGCTGATCCGAGGAATCCTCGCGGACCTGGGAGGCAACTCCCAGGAGACTTTCGTGAGAACGATCAAAATATACGAAACCCGATTAGGGAGCCAATCCCGCCGGATTGGCCCAAGTTGCTCACTGGATTAAGCAAGACTGCGCGGCAGCAGGCCAGAGCGGGATCACGCCCGTATTCGCCAAGGATGTACCAAGGCCGATGCTAGCGTTAACCTCCCAAGAGTTGTACCCCAATGCAGATGCTACACATAGAACTCTCGGCCAGCAAATATCCAGAACTAGAACCAGGCGAACGAGCTTCGCCCGCGCGCTGAGGTTCCAGCCTCTCCAGTGCCTAACACATGGACGACGAAGGGGAGTTCATGAATGGCATGTTGCTGGCACCATCGTATCACTAATTATGTTGCATTGTTGGCAGCGGTGCCGAGCACAATGTCCACGGGCAGTATCCCTGATGTGCTGGGTTGTCGGTTAGATGAACGCGCCCTGCCTCCCACGCAGGACAGTGCATGAGGGAAAGAAGTACTAGCCGGCCGCTCTGCGGTTGATCGGGAGTTTCTGTATATAGAAGCACAATGTGCAGCTGATGTGCTGGGTTGCGAACGCGCCCTGCCTGACAGGCATGAGCCGGCCGCTCTGCGGTTGATCGGGAGTTTCTGTATATAGAAGAAGGTGCGTCCTCCTCCTCCTCCTCCTCCTCCTCCTCCTCCTCCTCCTCCATCCTTCTCTTGCCTCCGTCTGTCCTCCTCCACCCCGCAGCTCCATCATCCTCCTCCTCCTCCTCCTCCTCCTCCTCCTCCTCCTCCTCCTCATTCCTCCTCTGGGCACCTCCCCCGGGGCGCGGATCCACCGGATCTGTCCGGATCTGTCCGGAAACGGTGCCGGAGGCCGCTCTGGGCTCCTCTGGGCACCTCCCCCGGGGCCGGTTTTGTGAGGATGTCTCAAGCGAGGGCGCCGGTTTGGGATTCGTCGGCGGATCCAGCGGATCCACCGGATCTGTCCGGAAACGGTGCCGGAGGCCGCTCTGGGCTCCTCTGGGCACCTCCCCCGGGGCCGGTTTTGTGAGGATGTCTCAAGCGAGGGCGCCGGTTTGGGATTCGTCACCGGATCCAGCGGATCCAGCGGATCCACCGGATCTGTCCGGAAACGGTGCCGGAGGCCGCTCTGGGCTCCTCTGGGCACCTCCCCCGGGGCCGGTTTTGTGAGGATGTCTCAAGCGAGGGCGCCGGTTTGGGATTCGTCGGATCCGGATCCCGGATCTGTCCGGAAACGGTGCCGGAGGCCGCTCTGGGCTCCTCTGGGCACCTCCCCCGGGGCCGGTTTTGTGAGGATGTCTCAAGCGAGGGCGCCGGTTTGGGATTCGTCGGATCCACCGGATCTGTCCGGAAACGGTGCCGGAGGCCGCTCTGGGCTCCTCTGGGCACCTCCCCCGGGGCCGGTTTTGTGAGGATGTCTCAAGCGAGGGCGCCGGTTTGGGATTCGTCACCGGATCCACCGGATCTGTCCGGAAACGGTGCCGGAGGCCGCTCTGGGCTCCTCTGGGCACCTCCCCCGGGGCCGGTTTTGTGAGGATGTCTCAAGCGAGGGCGCCGGTTTGGGATTCGTCACCGGATCCACCCACCGGATCTGTCCGGAAACGGTGCCGGAGGCCGCTCTGGGCTCCTCTGGGCACCTCCCCCGGGGCCGGTTTTGTGAGGATGTCTCAAGCGAGGGCGCCGGTTTGGGATTCGTCACCGGATCCACCGGATCTGTCCGGAAACGGTGCCGGAGGCCGCTCTGGGCTCCTCTGGGCACCTCCCCCGGGGCCGGTTTTGTGAGGATGTCTCAAGCGAGGGCGCCGGTTTGGGATTCGTCACCGGATCCACCGGATCTGTCCGGAAACGGTGCCGGAGGCCGCTCTGGGCTCCTCTGGGCACCTCCCCCGGGGCCGGTTTTGTGAGGATGTCTCAAGCGAGGGCGCCGGTTTGGGATTCGTCGGCGGATCCACCGGATCCACCGGATCTGTCCGGAAACGGTGCCGGAGGCCGCTCTGGGCTCCTCTGGGCACCTCCCCCGGGGCCGGTTTTGTGAGGATGTCTCAAGCGAGGGCGCCGGTTTGGGATTCGTCACCGGATCCACCGGATCTGTCCGGAAACGGTGCCGGAGGCCGCTCTGGGCTCCTCTGGGCACCTCCCCCGGGGCCGGTTTTGTGAGGATGTCTCAAGCGAGGGCGCCGGTTTGGGATTCGTCGGATCCAGCGGATCCACCGGATCTGTCCGGAAACGGTGCCGGAGGCCGCTCTGGGCTCCTCTGGGCACCTCCCCCGGGGCCGGTTTTGTGAGGATGTCTCAAGCGAGGGCGCCGGTTTGGGATTCGTCACCGGATCCACCGGATCTGTCCGGAAACGGTGCCGGAGGCCGCTCTGGGCTCCTCTGGGCACCTCCCCCGGGGCCGGTTTTGTGAGGATGTCTCAAGCGAGGGCGCCGGTTTGGGATTCGTCACCGGATCCAGCGGATCCACCGGATCTGTCCGGAAACGGTGCCGGAGGCCGCTCTGGGCTCCTCTGGGCACCTCCCCCGGGGCCGGTTTTGTGAGGATGTCTCAAGCGAGGGCGCCGGTTTGGGATTCGTCGGTCACCGGATCCACCGGATCTGTCCGGAAACGGTGCCGGAGGCCGCTCTGGGCTCCTCTGGGCACCTCCCCCGGGGCCGGTTTTGTGAGGATGTCTCAAGCGAGGGCGCCGGTTTGGGATCGTCGTCACCGGATCCACCGGATCTGTCCGGAAACGGTGCCGGAGGCCGCTCTGGGCTCCTCTGGGCACCTCCCCCGGGGCCGGTTTTGTGAGGATGTCTCAAGCGAGGGCGCCGGTTTGGGATTCGTCACCGGATCCACCGGATCTGTCCGGAAACGGTGCCGGAGGCCGCTCTGGGCTCCTCTGGGCACCTCCCCCGGGGCCGGTTTTGTGAGGATGTCTCAAGCGAGGGCGCCGGTTTGGGATTCGTCACCGGATCCACCGGATCTGTCCGGAAACGGTGCCGGAGGCCGCTCTGGGCTCCTCTGGGCACCTCCCCCGGGGCCGGTTTTGTGAGGATGTCTCAAGCGAGGGCGCCGGTTTGGGATTCGTCACCGGATCCACCGGATCTGTCCGGAAACGGTGCCGGAGGCCGCTCTGGGCTCCTCTGGGCACCTCCCCCGGGGCCGGTTTTGTGAGGATGTCTCAAGCGAGGGCGCCGGTTTGGGATTCGTCACCGGATCCACCGGATCTGTCCGGAAACGGTGCCGGAGGCCGCTCTGGGCTCGTGCTCTTCGCGCCGGGGGTGAGGATGACGTGAGTTCCACAGAAACTCCCTCAAACCACAAGCAGTGGCAAGAACTCTGGGGCTGCGGGAGCAAACGGCGAGCTTTCCAGACCATGCCAAAATCTTTCGCAGTCCATTGCTCGATCCCCTGCGCATATAGGGCACAGAAGAACATACTGGCACACTGCGTCCCCCTTGGAGGCGAACGTCCGAATATGGTCAGAAAGCGCCCGCCACAGAGCACATAGGAAATCAGACTCCTCAACGCGCGCGCGTCGCACACACACAAAGACACACACATACACACATGCACACACATGCACACACACACACTCACACACACACACACGCAAAACAACTATCGCTGGGTGATGCCCATCCTACAAACAAGCCGCGACATGTCCCGCGTGATGGAGACCATTCCCAATCGGCGGCGCACAGATTCCTGCGAGGCCTGGCAAGAGTGCGAGCGCGATCGCTGCCACGTTCTGCCCAAAGCACGCACTGTCACGCGGGGAGGGTCTGTCTGGGCAGTCTCTGTGGGGCAATATCCAGGCCGTCTCGGGCCTCTCTTGGGCCGTCTCGGCGCCCTCTGATTGGGAGCCCTCTTAAGCTTAAGGCATCTTCAGGCCCTGTTGGGATCTTTTGGAGCTCCTTTGGGCTGTCTTGGGGCGTCTTGGTTACCCCGGATGTCACGATAAGAGGGTGGTGGCCTGATTTGTGGTTGAGGGGGTCTGATTTGAGCTGCCTTGGCCTTGGAGGGTTCCAGTGGGGTATAGGCAAAATGCCGCCCCTTCGTGGCTGGTCTGGGGGGGAGTCTTAACCTGCTCATCTGAGAGGGCTGTAACCCCCGTCCCTTCTATTACGGAATCTGGAGCAGCATCTTGGACCGTCTTGGGCGCTGCATCCGCCAACACCGTCGAATCTACAAACTAGAACCAATCGAGCGCGCTTCGCGCGAGCTTAGGGGCAAGTGCAGCACAAGCCAACGTTCGTGCCCCTCTGGAGGCCCTGGTAGGGCAATGCTGTTTCTTAGTGTACTCTGAGCTCCTTAGTTCCAGCATCATCATGGCTGCTTCCTCTCAGTGTCTTGCTCCTCGTGTTGCCCCCCCCCCTGCCACACAAACACCGTCGTCATCGCACAATGCTCGTATCATTATTCCATATGTGTCTGAGCTTCCTCCACCGCCTTCTCATTATCGAGTCTTCTTCTTCAACTTCACCATTATCTTTTGTTGCCCATCACATTATCATCCACATCCTGTTTCGCAAATTACTTTCACCTCATCCACATCAGTACCGTATGTGTACTCAGTTTGATAGTCAAACACCGCCGACCGCGACTTCCCCGTCCGCTGTCGCATCCTCATTATCTATCCAGGATTCCTTGTTTCTCCTCCTCGTTCTTCCATAATTTCCTGAATGCCCTCCTCAAGCGGTCAATGCCCACTTCACTTGCGATGCTTCCAATTCTTCCGATAGCCCGAAATTCCCCCGAACTGTCTTAGACGCTACTTGAAGCATCTGAAGCCGT